ACTGACTGCATACCTAATGTGAATTACAGCAAGCATAACCTCAATCTGTGTTCTGGACCCCTGAGTGTAAAAACACAGCATAATGTAATTGGAAACCATGATAATTTGTAATAGACCATGATAATTTGTAACTCCCAAAACTACTGGGAAGGCTGTCTGTATTGGTTACAGTATTTCTCTCTTTTTTTTTTTTTTTTTTTTTTTTTTTATGGTACCTGAAATCCACCCAGTCCATTTGCTGCTTGTCTCTTGTTCCTAGCAGCGACACATGAAAACTGTATCTTCTTTCTGCAATATTTTGCAAAGGTTGTTGCTTGCCTACTCTCTCAGAAAGACCACATTCAAGCAGCACCAAGCCTGTGCCACAAGGAGATTCTCTCTGAAACTTACAACCATAAAAAAATTCAACTGGAGTACCACGGAGAAGGCTGACAAAATACAGTCAACATTTTTCGCTAAAAAAAAAAAATGGTTCTTCTGGCCTCAGATGAGTAACAGAGGTGTGTTCAAAAGCACAGCACAGCAATATGGATTTTCGACATAGGATGCCTGGAGTAAGCCTCTCTTAGGTTACAAGAAATCAATACTCCTGCAGCGCAGGTAGGTCTATAGCATTATTCCTTAATAGGTTATTGATATCATGGTAGGTGTCTCCAGTAAAGCCTGACCTAAGGAAGCAGCAGCAGTAGAGGATTCCTCTTTTTACTGTTTACAGGAAAGAAAGTGTTAAACGACACACTCTGCAAGACATTTCTCAAAGAATGGCAATTAGTTCTTCTGAAAGGAGTAGAGATACTGGGATAATGAAGTTGTCAGTAAAACAGCCTTTGCTTTAGATTGAACAAGCCCAGCTCATTCAGGCACTTTTCACGGGGCAAATCCTCCATCCCTGATTCTGGTAGTGCTAGAACTGTATCATAGAATCATAAAATAGATTAGGTTGGAAGGGATTTGAAAGACCATCCAGCTCCAACCCCATGCCGTGTACAGGTTTGCCAAGCACTAGATCAGGCAGCTCAGGGCCCCATCTGACTTAGCCTTGAACCCCTCCAGGGATGGGACATCCTGTTCCAGCATCTCACCACAATCTGAGTAAAAATTTTCTCCTAACATCTAATCTAAATCTCCCTTCTTTTAATTTAAACTATTCTCTGTTGTCCTATCATTATCAGACCAGATAAATGGTTGCTCTCCCTCTGGACATGCTTAGGGGGTGTTTAGTGATGTGTGCATTTGCATTTTTGGGGTTAGTTTCGGCAGCTTCCTTCTATATAAGCCTTTGGACAGAGTTTGCTTCTGAAGGTGAGATCAATTTAAGTAAACACAGGACATGTGAATTGGCCTAAACTGGCAACTCCTAGGAGTAATGACTATCCATTATAAATGATAGATCAACAGAACTGTGCATCAACCTCTATTTTCAGCCTCGTAATACACAGCATGGTGTCATCTTATTGTGTGCTTTAATTCCTGGTTTGCAATAATCTGCTTAGTTTTACAAGAAATTTCAACTATGAGAGTTCCTTTTAAACTTCAAAGAGTAAAATTATAGAATCACAGAATTGTTTAGATTGGAAAAGACCCTTAAGATCAAGTCCAACCATTGACCTAGCACTACCAAGTCTACCACTAAGCCATGTCCCTAAGCACCACATTCATACATTTCAGGATTATGACTCCACAACTTCCCTGAGCAGTCTATTCCAATTCCTACCACACTTTCTATGAGGAAATTCTTTCTGATATCCAATCTAAACCTCCCTTGTTTAAGTGTGAGGCCATTTCCTCAATTCTTGTCACTTGTCACCTGAGAAAAGAGACCTCACTGCTAGTTCCTTTCAGGTAGTTGTAGAGTGATGAAGTCTGCTTCCTCTTCTACAGACTAAGCAATCTCAATTCCCTCAGCCACTCCTCATATGTCTTGTTTTCTTGTCCCTTCACCAGCTTCGTTGCTCTTCTCTGATTACATTCCAGCAGCTGTTTTCTGTTTTTAGTGAGGGGTCCAAAACTGAACACTCAAGGTGTGCTCTCACCAGCACTGTGTATGCATGTAGCTGTCTTTCATGAAACTGACAACTAGTATCTTATTTAGGATTGAGTCCTTTCCTGAACTTGGATAGAGTTACGAGTTATTAAAAATGTAAAGAACTATATATTAAAATGATCCGATACTTTAGAGATAATAAATTTTGAAATGTAACTTTACTTGATATTGTGTGAATTTAGTAAAATACATCAGATTACCAAGTGCTTTGTAATGCTTGCATAAAAATACTATTTAATAAAATTGTATTTTTCTTCCTATACTTAATTTTTAATAAAATGTTAACGTTTGAAACTCTGCTTTTACCCTGAAAGCCATATTTGTACTTTCAAGACAGAGGTGAGGAAAATAGTGTGTGGCTCTGCTGGTGCCTTTATTTTAGTTGATAAAACTATCATCTGTGTTAGAGGTAATTTTGTACTTACTGTCCTTAGTAGATTTTCTTCATCTGCAAGGAGGCCATTGAAACCAAAATTTAACCTAAAAAAGCCTATCCACTTTGAAAAAATATTGGAAGATAAGCAGAAAAGATCAGTAGTAACAACCTAAGATAATTAAACTTAATCTGGAGAGAAGAAATAGAGTATAAAAATTGTTTTCTGCTCTGGCTATACTTTCAGTTTGCTATTGAGATGTTTTGGCTTTTTTTTGTATCTAATTGCAAATCAAGTGGCAATAGTCTACTTTTGCTGTGCATGATATCAGTGTTTCTGCTCTGCCAAGTATTCTCTCTGCCCTGAAAGTGTGAAATGTTTAATTATTCCCAAGCACCACTTTTGATCAGGGTGACAATGAGTTTCTTATGTTTGGCAAGTTCTTCCAGAATCCTGGTGCTTTCAGCTTTCATCTGAAAACTACTGCCCCTATTCAGTATGCCCTGCATGGTTGGATGGTCTTTCTGCATTTCCTTTTAAAAACATTGATGCTTGCTTTCGCAGAAACCCCTGCCTTTTAGGAAACAAACATGCTTTCGAAAGAAAATGGCAGTTTATAAGAGTGGCTGGAAGTGTACTGTAAGACACTCAAGTGTTCTGCCTTGGAGAATTTTCTTGACAAAGGACATTAAACTTATGCCCAGAAGAAACAGAATTTGTGGAATAGCCAATTTTTTGATGTAATCACTGCATTTTGAATGCTATCATTTTTGCCGTTCCTTCCTGGATTTCACTGTCATTTAGCTTCCTCTTGTAAGTATCAGGGTGGAGATCAACAATTTCAGGAACAGATGTTGAACAGAAGTAAAATCTTTTCTCCAAAAGTGATTCAGGAAATAACTCACCCTGTATGTGATGTTAGACCTTAAAGTAAACATACATACATATCTTGGAGTAACTGCCTAGTCATGATCTCCTTAATCAGAACTTGGGAGTTTGAATACTGTACTGGCTTTCACTTTCCCCAAGCTCAATGTGCACTTCTGCTGTTAAGTAGCAGATGTACTGGGGAATGTACCCAAGGAATTATGGAAAATTAAAGTAAAAATAGTATAATCTGAAAATTAAAGGAAATTTAGTATTCTTTAGTATTCTTGGAAGACAGAATATTCTGACATTTCTTGAGATCGACTCTTTCTGCATCAAAATATGTGGAGTTATGACCAAATTGTAGAAAATCTATACACAGTCTACCTCGTCTTTGTAAATTGCTTATTTTAACTTATGAATGTATGTTGGTATGACTCAAATTTGGCGCTCTTTCTCCTCCAACAATTGAATCTTACAACATCTGTGCTTACTAGATTAATGGTACTGTTGTGCTTACTAGATTAATGGTATTATTGAGCTGTCTTTTACCTTTCTTAATGACATAGTTATTTTTCTTTTATTGGTCAACTCTTATTACTATTTCTTTTGTTCTAACCATATATTTGGCATAAGTGAGTCTTCTAGTTCTACACAGGTAGGATTTGAAAAGGTAATTCAGATGACGTAGCTTTTATTTGGGTGTGTGCAACATCCTTTAGCAAATTTTGTGTATTAAGATAAATGCTTCTATTTTGGAAAGTGCAGTTGTAACTTAACAAAGGCACTGCTAATGTTTATATATATAAAGTTTAAAGACAAGTGAAATTAGTAAAGCAAGGTCACTATCAAGCTTGCTCTTATGCCCCTGATAGACTTCATTTGATTTGAATTTGTACCTGTAAAGTCTTGCTGGTCCTTTTTATGAGGACTTTAATGGATAAGAATATTATTTTTGAAAATTACACAGATAGCTGTTCTCCCAATGTTATTTCCTCTAATGCTTCAATTCTCTAACAGTAAGTCAGTTGTCTGTCATCTCCAAAATATTACTAGCAGCACACTGCTTTTCCAAATCAGAAATACCTGCATTATTCCCATAGATTGAAGGACATCAGTAGCTGTGTGCAGCACTCTCTAGCCTTCTTGAACCAAGGTCTCACCATCTGAATAAATTTCTTCCCTTCATGTGCACTGACTCAGTATGGATCCTGAAGTCCACATCAACTCCAGATCTTCATCATGTGCTTATTGACTCCTTCAAACTCTCAAGCTGTTATTTTAGAGAAAATAATGAAAAAGGAGAACAGAACTTAGATTAGGTTGAACAACTATCTTGTACAAAAATGGTGTTATCTGAACTTTCTCTTATGCAGTTATATTGTGATGATTCCATTTTTTGTCATTGTATTACTATTGCTCTGCTTCTCACCCCCCCCCCCCCTTCCACTGACTTTCCCTTCACCCATCTCTAAGCTCATCTGTTTGCCAGAGTCTTCTGCTTGTTGTGAATGTCATACAAGCAATTGCCTGACTTTTCAAAGAGAAAATTCAGTGGTCTTGAGAAGGCTTTAAGGTTAAGTGGTAACACATGGAAAATATCAGAGCTGGTACATTAATAGTATTAGTGTTAGTTGTACACTGCAAATCTCAGTGAAAAGTTGTATATGTGTATAAAACAATAATTTGTGTCTTTTTTTTTATTTCTTACTCAGGTCATTGCCATAGTTATGGATATGTTTACAGATGTGGATATCTTTAGAGAAATTGTAGAGGCATCTACTAGAGGGATTGCAGTGTACCTCCTGCTTGATGAGTCAAACTTTGGTCACTTTCTGAAAATGACGGAGAAACAAGGCTGCCAAGTTCAAAGGCTCAGGGTAAGACTTACTGTGTTCCTGTTCCTGCCTGGACTTTCCTTTGCAACCCACCGAAAAGTTAAAATTATTTTAAAAGTGATTATCAAATGCTGCTGTTTCAAATTAACTATGAAGTAGAAATAGGTAAACTTTCAACAGAACCTTCTCTATTAATGTTGTTCTCTTTAGAAAAAACTTCTATATTTTTCATGTGTCATGCACTTGATAGAATGATATAATTTTTCACATATTGTTTATATAACATTTTCCTGTTGTTATATATTTAGGAATACTCCAGGTTTGGAAAACCTTTTTGCCTTATGTTAAATAACCTGCAAATAAAGTCATAAAGCTTATGCAAATAATTAGGAAAAATAAATGATATACTTCGTTTACTTCATTTTTTGTCTTTATTTTTTTAAGTGTGATTGTATTTCAAAATGCTTTTAAAAGCCTGGCATTCTATTTTAGTAATATTTCTTGAAAATATTTACAATAATGTCTGTTAACAGCATGTCTTAGAGAGTATGCAATACGAGAAGGCTTACTTTTATAAATTAGTTACATAGTTTTCTCCTGTAAGAAAGATAATCAGGAGAGGATTAATGTTTACATTTCTCAATCAATTGCTTGCACCACCCTACAACTTAACAGGAAGTAGAATACAAACCAATGCTGCACTGAACTGACATGTGCTTCATAAATACTTCTAGATTTACTCTTTTGTAGATAGCTCGGAAAACAACACAAGGACAGAGCCAGAGCTGCTCTGCAAAGATCTAGATATTTCCTTGTCTGAACTTGTATACCAATTTTTGCTCTGGAGTGTTGACTTAGACACACGGAGGTATTACCACACCATTTCCTGTACTTGTTCCTTGTGTGTGAGATTGCCCTCTGCTGGCTTAATACACAAAGCTGTGGCAATTTTTAGAAAGAAAAAGTCAGAAATGTTGCTTATCTGTAGACACTAGTAGCAATTGCCTCCATAAAGTCAATATATACCAATAGTTACACATGCTGCAACTTGAGGTACTACCATTTCCCAATGATTTGGGCTAACTATACCATAGAGATTTCTAACTTTTTTTTTTTAATTGTGTGACTTTTATTCTCCCAGTATAAATGAAATTAGGAGCATGCAATTGAAGTTCTATCTCTAAAAAATACCATAGTATGCATTTTCACATTTATTCTGTGCAGTATATTTCTATAGCTGTTTCTAAAGCCTAATTTTTAGGGGATGAGTTAGTTTTCTTTCTAAAATGGTTTTATAGACATTTATATACTGTGATATACTGTGGTTTTATAGACATTACATAGACTGTGATTGAAAGAACTCGTGCATATGTTAGAATGGATTTGGTATGGATTAGTGAGTTGGAAAGGTGTGGATTTGGTTTGGATTAGTAGGTCATAGAGGTTTGGATTTGGCCTCTTTAGTGGGATTATGTTTTATATGCTTCTGTTGTGTAATGATGGTACAAACACATTTACATTGAAAGTTTACTTAGAATGCTTCAAGATTTATCAGAAAATGAAAATACATGCCAAAGAGCTAAACATTAATCCAGTAATCCTGTTGTTTCCTGGGTTTCCAGTTTAGCTTGTAGTAAAGCTCTTCTTTGCTCTCTATAACTACCTGCACCAGGGGAGATTTAGGCTGGGCGTTAGGAAATACTACTTTTTTGAGAGTGGTCAGGCACTGGAATGGGCTGCCCAAGAAGGTGGTGGAGTCACCGACCCTGGCGGTGTTCAAGGAATGTTTGGATTTTTTTTTTGAGGGATATGGTTTAGTGTGAACTATTGGTGATAGGTGGATGGTTGGACTGGATGATCTTGTAGGTCTTTTCCAACCTTGGGGTTTCTGTGATTCTGTGATTCAAGCTCCTCAGCCAGGTGCTACTCCCAATGACTGTTGCCACAAGAATGAAAGTTTACAGAAGAATGAAAGAATGAAAGCAGCAATTATTTCCCTCCTTGAAGATTAAGGGAAACTGCTGGTGATTATGAAAGAGCAGTAAATTCTTTGAAAAGGTTTTCTCCCTTTCTCTTTTTTTCTATTGCCTCAATGTTCACAAAAACAAACTATATTTAACATTTTTTGCTTTTGGACTTCCTCTTTTATAGACTGAAAGCAATAAGAGGACTGAGATGTAAAAATATATTTATTTTCCTCAGGATACAGCAAGAACACTGTTCTTTTTATTCTCTGGTGTGATGTGGTTCTGTCTTGCAGGAGTATGGCAGATGTTCTTCATCCCATGCACTCCTGAAGTGGGGCATCTCTTAAGCTTTTCTGGCTTAATCAAAGCCCTCACAGGTTATTTTTCTCTTCCTTTCAATCAGTAAAAAATAAAATAACAGAGGATATGTTTTTGAATTCAGATTTACAATTCAGTCTTTTGTACATAAAAAGGGATTAAATCTAAAAAGGGATAAAAAGGGATTAAATCTACATTAAATGTCTATGCAGACAGTTTTCTTCATCTGTGGTGTGAATGCATATCAGGACATATTTCTGTCTTTTTTGAAAGCTATAACTAAAAAAAAAAAAAAGACTATATATTATGTGATTGTTACGTGAATTCTGTACAGAAGAACATAAAACCAGGAATTTACTAGGAGCTTTTCCAGTCTCTTGTACAACATTTCTTCTTTTGGATTGATTTCTACTTAATATTTACCTTATCTTCTTCTGTGGCTCATCTCAAATAGATAGTGTCTTTCTGTACTCTCCTATTTCTCTTTCCTCGCTTTCAATTTAATTTCTCTGTTTCCTGACTGCCTTAATTTTTTTCCCCATTAGCTGATGTATTTCTCTTTCTTTCTCTTCTCTGTGTAAACTTGTTTTGATTAATTTTGTCACCAGACTGACTTGTTCAGTCAGCATTTCCTTTGCATAGAATATTGAAAAGCCCATACAAGAGCCTGACTTTTTTCAGGTGATTTTTCAAAACCTAATTGTTTTTTTTGTTTCCTGGAGGTTGTTGTTCATTTCTGCTGCTGACAAGTGCTGCAGCAAACTAGGAAATAGATTTGCACTGTGAAACGCATCAGGGAGAACAATCCTCAATATCACCAGAATGCTTAAGGGAGTAACTTGGTTTTGGATGAAAACACTATAGAATGTAGAAAATGTTGATTGTTGCCCAAGAAATCAACCAAGCTCTTCAGCTGAATATCAGAGTTCATTTTTTTTATCTGATAGGAAATCATGAAATCACTGAATCACTAAAGTTGGAAAAGTCTTCTGAGATCATCTAGTCCAACCATCAACCCATCACTACTATGGCTACTAACCGTGGCCCTCAGTGCCACATCTACACATTTGTTATGTCACCTCCAATGACACCGAGTCCACCACCCGCCTGGGCAGCCTGTTCCAGTGCCTCACCACTCTTTCTGAGAAGAAATTTTTCATAATATCCAAACTGAATATGAGTTGTGGCATATGGCAGAGGCTCTATATTGAACAGAAACCTATTTTTACTTCTCTGGAAATAATGAAGAATCATTTTACTAAAGGAGAATATTGCAAGCAATTTGACAGGAACTGTTTATACTGTGATACTCCTCTCAATATTTTTAATGAACTGGGGAAATGAGAAAGTAGAAGCAGTTATGAATTGTTTTTTTTCTTTTGTGAGATCTACTCCCAAGTGCTTAAGTGCAGGGGAGAAACTGTTTGTGAAAGCTGACTGCAGTCCGTTATTTCTTATGAGTTTTATCAGAATCATCAGAAGTTTTCTATTACTTCAAGTCTAAGTCAGATGTGGTCAGATATAGCTCAGCTTTGTATCAGTGAGCAAAATTCTGTCCTAAGGACTAGACTTCAATGAAGTCATTGAGAATTTGACTTCAGTGGCCACTGAATCAGCTTGAAAGTTACAGCAAAACCTACCTGGAGAGCTGCTTAGCATTTGTACAGCAGGTGCTATCTCTTAGTAAGAACAGAGGCACAGGATAATAAATAACATAAGTAATGAAAAGTATGGGAAATAGGACTATTTTCTTCTTTAAAGCTGCTAGGCTAACTATTAGGTAGACATCTGTTCCCTTCTTCATGCTTATTCTTGACAGCAAGTACAGGATAAATAATTGAATACTGATAAAAACAGACTCTACAAATAAAAAATGATGTAATAAAATGTTTGAGACCAGTATATTCATTGTACTTATTTATCGCATTGGACGATTTTTACTGAGTAATTATATATGATTTGAAACTATGCTTCTGAATTTTAAGTCATGGTTATGTGGCTCTCCCTAGGAAAGTAGTTATGCATAAAGAGAAGGCTAGAGCTTGTTTTTTCTTCATCATCTGGGTGTCATTTATTTGAATAACCCTGATAGCCATCCTTAAACTGCAGCATAGAGACCCAAACATTGAATGTTTTAAATATCATAAACACAAACAACACTACAACCCGTTCTTGGAGGGGGGAGAAGATCCTGGTTTTGGCTTCATAAACCTCCTAAAATATCAAGTCCTTGATTAAGTTGTTCTTCCACATGCATACACCAGCAGTCACTGACAAAAGTGGTTCCCAGGACCAGGCAGACTTACCATTTGACTGATCTTACAAACTTCAGTGTCTCCTGCCAGGCTAGCCTGATTCCCTCTTCATGTATGGATTTGTTTGTTTCCAGTTGCCCAGCATTTTCTGTCAAGATTCATAAGTAAATTACTGCTTTACCCACAATGATACAGCATCTCTGCAGTGGTCATTGGCACACCTTTTTGAGTGCAGTTAGCATGGGAGTGCTATAATATGACAGTGAAACCAAGTAGGAAGGAGAAATCCAGCATTTCATACAAAGTAGGGCTAGCAATTCAGTTATGTATATTTGTATTTACTGCTAGTGCTCTTAAGTAGAGTACAGCGTTCCTTTATGTTCTCAAATATTTTCTTTATTTTTGGAGGTTATTCAAAGGATGCATCCTTGGCAGCTAATTAGAAGGCTTGAAGGATGCCAGATGAGCTGTGGAGGAAGAGGAAGTGTTACATGAGAACAGTGAGCATGATCTCTGGCACATGCCTTTGTAGTGCTATGTTCCCATCTTTTTCTGGGTGACATCCTGAGACACAGAAAAGTTGGCAGGATTAAGGGAGTGGGATACAAATGCTGCAGAAGCAATAGTATTGAAGAAAAGGAAAACCGGATGAGAAAACAGTCACTAAGATGTTTTAAAAAAAACCATCAGTAAATGTAAATTATAATAATTTTTTGGAGGATTGAGAGCCTACTTGAGAATGTATTTTAACTTATGATTACTTAAGGCAAAAGGATTTTTATACAGTATGGTAGCTTGCAAGCCAATTAGCTTTGCTTGTGCCTACAGCATTCCAGATTCTCCAGTGATATTCTGCCCAATACTCTTTGGGTCTTATCTCAAAAAGATTTGATAGATTCCACTAGCATGTCATTATATCAGTATTTTCTGTTATTTTGACACAAATGATATATCAAATGAATTTAAATACTTAACTGTTGAAGTTAATGCAGATTTTGTAACTAATCACATTTTGATGTATATTAAATAAAGATTTACAATCCTGATAATCTTCGAAATGGGGCAAATTCCATTATTTTCTTCTTTTTAAAGTAATTACTATTTATTGCACTACTTAACTTACAAAATAAAAGGTTTTTTTTACAATTATTATTTAATTACTTCTATTTGCTGCTAAAGTAGCTGGTGGGGAAAGAATAATTTTCTTCACTGGAATTGGCTTGTTCAAAATTCAGCAAAAAACAGTGCTGGCAAAACAGGAAAATTGACTTTCTTTTTTAGATACCAAGTTAAAATCAATGTTGTGATAACACAAAGGGCACAATGCTAGATAATCAAAGGTAATTAGCAGTTAGAGATGCAAAGAGACAAATAATGTTAACCATACTGCATACTGGGTTCTTATTATTATTATTGTTGATCATTTTTTAACTGTTTCTCAAAATAATCTGGGCATCCACATGTGTTTTCACTGAGTCCAAGTAACTATTAGGTTTTACAGCACTGCTAGATAATCTTTTATTTAATCAATTTGATGTGACAAATTAAAATAAAGTTTATATTTCCAGCAAATTTGTAAGGCAAAAATACATTTTTAAATGTATTTTTTGTTCAAATACCCTGAAAAAAGAAAGCTAAATAAAAACTCAACTAAAGATATTTAAAGAACCATAAAGTCAAACTGCAGCTTACCAACTCATCAGTTTTTATGTGTAACTCTTCATTTTTTTTAATTCTCTATTTTTAAGTAAAAATTTTAAGATAGAAACAAGAAAATATAGAGGGATTCAGCAAGAATGTTATTTCAAAATTTGTGTCATTTTGTCTGTATTTTTTCCTAATTTTTTCTGTTTAGAGAAAGTTCATTAGATTATTGTAGATACTGTAAAGCTGCTATAGCCTGAATTTACACAGTTCATGGTCTGATCCATTTTGCTTCATGAATAGATTTAATCAGTTTCTTGTACCTACAGTTCACAGAAAACACTTCTGCTGTGATTTTCAGGCTCTACTTGTAACATCAGAATTTGGGGCAGAATTTAACCTTTGCAGTTAACCAGTAGTCACAAGAAACAAGCTATTCATTTGTCTTCAGAAATTCTATTATAATCCACTATTTCTGTATATGTAGTATATGTAACTATCATATAGATTGCTTTTTTACTGTCAATGTTAAATTATGGATTTCGGTCCTACAGGAATACTTGTAAATCACCACACATTAATATTGCTAAAGCACATACTGCAAGGATAGAAACCACAATAAATATTGTGGACATTCACAGATATATTCTAATCTGTATTTTGTCTTTTGAAGTACTTCATATCCAACAGCCAAATGAGGTAGATGCTATAGATCAGCTTACATTAAATCTAAATTTCATTTTTCTTATATATAAATACCTCGTAATAAACATTTCTGATAAATGTGCAGGTTTGGTGGGTTTGTTGTTCTTGTTGTCGTTTGGTTGGTTGGTATTTTACTGTATCCATGTAAAAACTTTCTGAAATTATTATTAGTACACTCCTAAAGATATTGTTTAGAATAGTTTTATTTCTAGGAGCTTGCTGAAGAAGCTTTGTTCACAGTGTGGGAGAAAAGGTGACCACATTTCCATTTTCCATCACAGAAGAATTCTCCAGGAGAATTTACTGAGTTTGCATGACTAAAACATAAAGTTTATGGATAAGGTTTGGAACTCAAACTGCTTTGAAGTTTGTTCTACCTATTCATGCTCTGATAGCATCTCTGGGTTTAGAAATGCAATCGCTTCCATGCTGAAAATTCAATTGAGAAAAATTATTAGTGATACAGCTTCAAGGGATTGTGGATTCAGGTGGTATCATTCAATAGTTCATCACAAAGTGGGATGTCTGTACTTATAGACAGAACACTCTTGTTCAATTGAAATAAGTGATACTGATGCTTTAAGTGATATTTCTGACTACCTGAGATGTTTGGAAATCAGATGCTGAAAAGATACATTTTCAATACAAAACCTCTTTCTCTTGTCAAAGACTTCTTGTGCCAGAACCTCATTTCTGAGAGTGAATTCTACGGAAAACGGGGAAATTCATTTTTCCATGGCCTGGGAAATCTCTTCATTCATTAAGACAAAGGGATGACTTGCCATTTTGCCCCTCCAAGGGACAGATTTGATCAAAGTTTACTGTCCTTTGGAGCTTAGCGGTATGCGATAATGTAACTCTTCTACTGTACCTCTGATTTTCAAAGACCTGGATGCTAAATGTCAAATATAGTCAATCAATTAAAGTATTTCAATTTTGTTTTTCAGAACATGAGAGTACGGACAGTAAAAGGACAAGATTACTATTCTAAAACAGGAGCAAAATTCCATGGAAAAATGGAACAAAAATTTCTGCTGGTTGATTGTAAGAAAGTTATATATGGTTCTTACAGGTAAGATTTGTCACTGAGGTGCTCGTAGGTTACCTGTCATCTCAGTACTTCACTTACTGCAAAGTAAATATTTTTTTCCGTTTCTAAAAATTCTTCGAAGAATCTCCAGGGGCAAATTTGATTATCTTTACTGTAATTTTACAAGTTGTCATAAAGACTTATTGGAAGCTTAAATGGATATATCATTTGTTTTTTTCTGAAGATTTGATGAAAAAAGAGAAAAATCCTGATTTATTCTGTTGAGTTATTCTTGCTTAGTATTCACCCCAGAAAAGGCTTTCAAAAAATTTCGTAAGCTCTTTTTGATACTTTTTCCTTGTAGTAATCTTCTAAAGTTAAAATTATAGACCTACTCTATGCACTCTGTATGATATCGTGGTCAAATTCAGAATTGTACAAGATAAGTTGGCATAGTCTCTCGTTATATTTGGATAAGTTCTATTATTCTACTTTCTGTTTGAATTCTAATATATTCTTCCAAGGCAGAAGACAGAAGAACTTACAGCTCTGCAGAATTGGAAAAAAGTTGAAGCAGTAACAGTTTTTATCTCACAGATTATTTTTCTTATCTTCATGGTTCACTTCTGTCTTTTGGCTTACTGAATTAATTTCTGCCAGCCTAGTGCCTGGGTGCCAGATACATAGCTACTGATTTTTGTATATTTCCACTACTGTAAGCTTTTGAAAATCTGTCTCTTTATTTCCTCTGAGACTCAAGCAGCATCTAATTTAGATTGATATGTGTAAATGGTACTGAGATAAATCAGCAGTTCATAAATGAGTCAGTATAAGGGAGTCCAGAGAGAGTCTGCCTGCTTTGACATCTACACACATTGTTGGAGTCTGTAAGAATGTGATCGGTTTTCTCATTTCTTTTTGAAAAATAACATGACTTTAAGACAGAGGTGGGAATCACCAATTTCTGTTAAAATTAAGCTTTCTTTGAAAAATAATTCAGTGATTTATAGCAGGAAAGAATGGTGTTTTCTGAATTCTTGCTCTCTGAACTCAGTTTAATTTTTTTTTACAGATATTGCAAAATATATTGTTATCAATAAGTACTTCTTTGAAAAAAGAAAAAAAAAGAGAAAAAAAATTATGTATCATAATTTTGTTTAAGCTCATCACACTATTCCCCAAAAAATTCAAAACTAGCAAATAAAACTAAACCAGCAAGCTATTTACGTGAATGCAACAAACCATTTTCCTCACAAGCAGGAGATGCAAATAAAACAAGTTTATTGCTTTCATTTAACTTTTTTTTTTTCTCACTTATTTTTGGCATTAAATTACGATCATAGGACAGATTTTTTTTTATTTGTTGTAATCTACAAATTATATGCTTTCAACACCGTGTTTTTAGGCTTATTGAAATATCCTTGGTGTAGTTGTTAATGTATTTTATTTCATATTGTAGCTACAAAGTAGCATAGATAGTTATATTTAAGCATGGTTCAACTTTTCTGTGCAAAATTGAAAGAAAGAAAACTTCATCAGGATATTGTACATTGCAATTAATAGAAAAGTTAATATTCAATCCCATGTGCATGCTAGAACATGAATCTTTTTGACAATTTTGAGGTGCATCTTTTTGAGAAGATGTTTAGAATACAGTATATTCAGACCTGTGGAAACTGTTTCATGTATTATTTCAAATGCAGTTTTTTTTAACACATAGCCATACCCTAGTGTTCTCTGACTCAGGAGTGGATCTGGTCAATTCTGGCTTAGTCTTTGTAGAGGTAATTCGGCACAATTAGGTATTTGTGTTCCAGTGTTCTGTACTTGAGAATACTTTTTGCAATATTTGCTGTTTGTAAGGGTTTTTAAGTAGCTATTTCTGCTCCCACCGAAATCAGTGGAAGTCTTCCACTAAGTTCAAGTCGTGTTAGATTAGATCTTCTAAAAGCAAATTGTATGAATCCTATTCCCAATTTATTTATTTACTAAATATAAGTTTACTTGATTTTTCTTTTTTCAAGGACCAGTGATTTATATTAGTTCAAAAGAACTGTTCCTAATGGTCATTTCTTCTTCTTTCAGCTTTATGTGGTCTTTTGAAAAAACCAACCTCAGTATGGTTCAAGTTATAACAGGACAGCTGGTTGAATCCTTTGATGAAGAGTTCAGGACACTGTATGCCCGTTCTTCTGTTCCTAGTTCATTTGCCCCTGAATTAGTGCGGGTAAACAGCCGCAGAACGCTCTGGGATAATGACACATGCCAACACTCAGTGTCTTCCTTAGCTTCAGTTTCTAGCCAAAGAAACCTTTTTGGTAGACAAGACAAGATTCACAAGTTAGATCCTGTTTATTTGAAAACTCGTGGACGATTTGCAGTAAATGAAATAGATAAATTTGGCTTGAGAAATCAAACTTTTAATAAACAACCATTTCATCCAGGTTTTAATATGCAAAATCCAATCCAGCAGTATCAACCTAGTGAAAAAAATGAGCACTGGAAGAGACATAGTTATGCTGGGGAGAAGCCGGAAAGGACACCTTACCTACTGCTTAACAGAGCTATTAATAGAGCCAATAATCCATTGAATACTTGGAAAATGCCATCTGATAGCCTTAGTATTGTATCTTCATTACGAGGAGGATATGCAAATAACTACAATACACCCCAACAAAGTTTTGCTGATCAATTTTCACGACAGAAGGTAAATCTTGCAGAAAGAAATTCAATTGTACGGAGGTCTTTTAATGGGACAGATAATCAAATCCGCCATCTGCAGCAAAGGATGCCAACACTTGAACACACAACAAAATCATTCCTACGTAACTGGCGAATTAAGTCATATTTAAATGACCATTCTGATTATCCAGTAGAGTCTAATGGATCAGTCTTGGGTGACAGATACGATGGCTATGACACAACTGAAAATATTAAAGCTCATGCTCTGTACTCCCACTCTCGCTTACGATCGTCATTAGTGTTCCAGCCAACTTTACCTGAACAACAGGAGGTAAGCAGCTGTGCAAGTTCTTCAAATTCAACTATAATTGGGTCAGAAGGAAGTGAAACACCTAAAGGGACATCTAATCATGCCCCAAGTTTGGAAAATGGAACAGATAATACTTCAGAAGAGCTTAGCACAAATGCCTCACCTAAATCAGAAGCACCCAAAAACCACAAAATTCAAATGGCAGAAAGCAGAAAGCCTACTGTAAATTCGAATGCAGTAGGGGACCCATCTGCCTATATATACACAACGCTCTGTGCAGACAAGCATGCAGAAAACATGAAAAATCTTCAAAATGACAATATCCTTAAAAGGAGAAGCTTTCCCATGTTTAATTCAAAGTCTATATTGGACCCTCATGCTGATAAACACACATCCAGTTATGTTTACAGCACACTGACTAGGCATAGGCTTAAGCAGCCAGTTAGTCCAAAAATTCCAGAAGATACACTAAAGAGCTCTAAAAGTTTGCATAGTATGGCCAACCATTTACCACAGGAGGAAAAGGATCTTAAAGGAGAGCTGAAGAGCCCAACTGCTACCAAGGCAATCTCTATGGCTGTTCTTGCTGAAGCTATCAAAGAGGAGTCTGGTAAGGATTGTACATCAAAGAAGGAAAATAAGAGTTCCCCAAATTTTCTAAAGAAAGGATCCCAAAAATTGCGGTCACTTCTTAATCTCACCCCAGACAAGAAAGAAATCTTGTCAAAAAACAAAAGTCCTGCCTTTTACAGAATGTGTAGTAGTTCTGACACTTTGGTTTCTGAAGAAGAGAATCAAAAACCAAAGGTATCTGAAAATAAGACAGATTCTTCCCCAAGGAGAAAGAGAAACACATCAAATTCACAAGGTAGCTTGAACAGAAGTAAAGAAGATGTCACTTCAAGCCCATCAAAGTCTCCAAAGTCTCCAAAGTCTCCAAAGTCTCCAAAGCCTCAAAAACCTCCATCTGATGAAAGCAATAAAAAGTGTCCTGTCTTGTGCCCTCTTGAAACTAAGTTCATAGAAACTGCAGGAGATGCATCTACCCCAAGATTTAATACGGAACAGATTCAGTATCAAGATGTAAAGGAAATTACCACAAATGCTGCTCCTGAGAGTGCCCCTGTTTGTGCTCTACAAAGAGCAACTTCAGTGACACCGCAACTGGCAAGCTCAAAACATCAAGAGGATCTCAGATCTCGTTCAAGTGAAAGACGTGTTTACAGTCGCTTTGAGCCATTCTATAAGATGGAAAATGCTAGTCAACTTGCAGGAAATACACTAAATAGCAGTTCACATCTCTCAGATATGAAAAGCAAGACCTTAGGGAATAACTATGGCAGAAGTAATCACCTGGTCAGCTACAACTCAACTGCTTATCATCCATTTCAGCCTAATGAAAATAAACTGAGAGGATTCATGCAGAAATTTGGGAACTTTCTACACAAAAACAAGTAAAACTTCTGCTACTGTTGTTGATATACAGCAAGAATAGCAAAGCTGTACATTCCTAACTGGACAAGGCCGATGAACTTTTTTGTAGTTTTCTAGTTTTGTAGAACTTATTTAGGTTTCTTCAGAATCGAGGACAATTGAATGAATGTACATATTTTTACATAATTACCCTAGGATTATTATACTTCAATCATTACTGAAATTCTGTGTCCAGAAAACATCTCAAGGGAGTTGTTTATAGTGTTTATATTGTAAGATTACTTTTATACATTTTCTTTGTGAAGAAAGTATGTGTTAGCATCTTGTAAGATTGCCTGTGGGGGAAAAGAAATATGGAGAGTGTTTTTAAACTTCAAATAATACCATTTCCAAAGATATTCCCTTTAAAAATAGGATAGCACTAGGAATAGTGGCTTGCATCTTTTCAGCATTTATGTACATTTTCAAATGATAAACACAGATGTTAATGCATTGCACGTTACTTATCTTTAAACTCATTTTTAAACCCTCTTATAGATTTCATCTTGGTAATAATTTACCCCCTAGCATCGTATTGAGCTGTTTAGGCAGCAGATGGATCTTCATTGAATTTTCCGTTTAATATGATGTTTTCTGAACTATTTGGCACACATCTTAAAGTGACCTTAATCCAAGCTTTTACGGACTTGTTTACATGGCTAAAGTAATGTGAATGTAGGATGAATGTTGAAAAAAAGAAAGTAACAAAAAAAGACCCCCAACAGTTTATAAACAGGGTGCCTTCAAAAGAACTTACAACTGGTTTAAATTTCAGTGAATTAAGTACTTTTGTATAACATGCCAGTATTCTGTAATGTATTCTAAAAATAATTTTTTGTTAGATTTTTCTGTTGTTTCCATGAAAAAAAAGTGGATTTCCATTTCTCAGGTAAGTCTTAGAGTTTCATATGCAACAGTCTGTGTAAAGTGTTGCCAGATTATGTACAACTCTGCCTTTAATAACCTATTTTTTTGATAGCAAGGTTGCAAGTGCTTAGACCAGGCATGTGAGGGAGGTTGTAAACTCGACACTGCAATACTTGAATATTCCATGCCCTGTTGCTTTATGTCAGGAAGATTGTCAGAAGGCCAGGAACAATTAGATATCTAAAAATGAGACTGATGAAAGCCACCACATCAAGCAATATGATGCCTCTCCTAAAGTATCAATGAAGGGTGATAGCAACAATTGTTTAACATTAGTGAACGTATTCAGGCACCTAGTTGCAATCTCAGGGGATGTATCTGTGTGTTCATTCAGACTCTCAGTCTCTCACTTTCTTGATATTAAATGCCTATAGCAGATCAGTGCATACAGAAAAACACAGGGACGTGGCATCTGCTTCTTACCTGCTGCTCATAGTCAAAGCATCCACCTGGCTCATGGCCCTCCTTGGTGGCGGTTTTTCTTTGAGGAGAGCGCCTGTAACCATTTAGCTGCAAGATGCTCTGGGACAATCTTGTTTCATTTGAATTCTGTAAAGCTCTTCCACCACACTTTACATAATTACATATTAAGAGGGCTGAAGACAATAAAGTGGACATTTCTCTGATTATGGCAGTCAGCATTTTGGAAGGGCATATTCACATCCTTGCCTTGCTAGCACACCTGCCTCTTCTCATGTCTTAGGCATGATTTGAGAACAGCAACTGAGAACTAAGTTCTAGTGGGATCATGAAAAATACTTTTTTAGGAAAAGAATACTGCAGCAGGCACTGGGCAACTCAGCATTTTTGGGGATTTAGGCAATATTGTAAATTTTCAGCAACAGAAATTTGGGTAACTTCATTGCTGAAAGCTTATGTACCTTATACAGGGTTTTCATGTTTCAGGAGCATGTTTTGGGAGACCGTTTCACTTTTAGATCTAAAAGGTCCTACAGCATTCCATGCTGGAATCCCATTGCGGAGGTTGTGGTTTGTCCTTTAAAAACATCAAAAAGGCATTTCATGCCCCAGCTCAGTTGAGTTCATTTGTCTGTGCTACCTGTGGTGCTGAGAGGAGATTTTACATGGAAATCTCATCACTGAGAATTTCATTTGAATTTCATTCAAACTGTTTCTCAGGCAAACTTACTAGGTTGATGCATTATAATAATTACTGTTTCACTGTGGGGATGGTATTTATTTTTAAGGGCCTTGTGTCTCAATCCTCTGCTGAAAGTTTCAGTCACCCTTTTACCTATGATTTACTTGGGATGGAAAAGACTATGAATTTCTAAATGGACACCGGCCACTTGATCACTCCATGCTAAAATGCCCCAGTACATATCTTTCCCAAATGAGCATTCATAGCATCCTGTCAGAAGCAGCAATTTCAGGCCCAGATCCTGAGGCAAGATGCATCTCCTTAGTATTATGTGCATATTTTCAACATAGGCACAACATACTTCCCCAAGTAGTTTTGAAGTGACAGTTCTTTGCATTTTGTAGTAGAATGTGGGAAACATATTTTGATACACTTAGGAGTCTTTTTCTGTATTTTCCAGAGTGGATTGTTTATAAGAGAGTCCTGAGAAAGCAAGTATTTTAATTTACCAAGTCACCTATATATAATTCCATTTTGTATTTATACACAGCAGATTAAGTGTCTTCAGTGAAGAGCCTGCTCATATGCTTAATAATGCAAAAAAAATAATCACAGTAAAATTTTCTTTTTCATTTCCATGTATCTCCTCAGAGACTATGCATTGAGGCCTGATCCAAGATTAACTGAACTGAATGAAAATGATCACCACTGGCTTCAGTGAAAGTTGGATCAGACACATAATGTAGTGATGCCACTATTTTAGAGGTGTGACAAAATGCTGCTTGGAAAGCATGCAGCCCTGGCACTGTGGGAGCAGCAGCTTGATGCCCTGCCTGCAGCTTTAGAGATGAGGGAGCCCTTGGTAGAGCTCCAAGGCAAGTGATGCAAGGACCAGCTGCCTTGTTGTTCCCACTGGAATTGTGTGTTATAGGTGGGGAAGCAGTGCTCAGCTGTTTGTGTCTGATTTGCCTCCTGTCTGTGGAGGATCCCACCTGTTCCACAAAATAGAGAAGTGTGGAAGAAAATACATAAGCTCTTTGCATCAGCAAAATCTGTGTCTTTTTGGAAGGAGGAATAGAGCTTATATATTTAAACTTCCTTTTCCCCAAGCTTGTCTTGATCTTTCTGCTCTTCCAAAAGAGATGGACTTTGTTCAGTGTGTCCTGAATGTGCTTTGCACATTGCAGGTTTGTTACACCCTGCACACACCCAGTGTACTCCCAGTTTTGTAAGGCTCTGAAGTAATAGGTATTGCCACGCATGATGGTCATGTGGCCAAATGGCTTGGGAGTTGAGAAACACACAAAAAAATGATGTGTCATTTTCACATTAGATAAAACTCTGTTAGATCCAGATGATCAGAGTTACACAGTACTGAATGTGGCCCTCAGGAGCTCCGTGGGCAGCTCATACAGGAAATACAGACCCCTCATACAGCACACGTTCAATTTGTGTTGTAAATAAACCACCTCAGCATACGATCGTAACACCCAGTGAATTAATTGCTTCATTTCTTCAGCCTTGTAGTAAACAGTTTTTACTGCCTCTCAGATTGCAAAACGTTGGTTATTTTACTAATGAGCTTGCACAGCACTCTATTCATGCTAATGAATATGAACTTTGTGTAAATAAAAATTAAGACAAATTGAATTTCCTGCTGTCTAATTCACAAGGATAATATTTTTTGTTAGAAGCCTTGACAGAAAGAAAGCTTATCATAAGCTTGTCAGGTTGGTTTCATTACTGACAGCAATTGATTGTGCTGTTCTCATTTAAAATTGATACTTGATTTGTAAATCCTTTTTTTTCAGGTGGAATTCCCAGATTACATAGCAACTGTGTTACGGATATACTGTGTATGTACATATACAAACCAAAAATGTCTTGAAATAATTTATTATTGATAGATACAAGAGCAATATCATTCAGAAAAAAAAACAAAAAACTGTTTGATCTTTTTTTTTTTTGGCTTTCTGAAAAATAAAAGGGAATGTTGTGGCTTATAGAAGAAGTCATAAGAAAAATAATCCCAAGATCTGTGCCAAGATAGTGTAAAAATAAAATTTAAAATGGCTCCACTATGCTGTACGAGAAATATCTTTTCTTCATTTGTAGCACTTTTTTCCTTGCTCTTTCCTGACATAAACTGTACAACCACAAGTGACTGTACAACAGTGTGATGAACAGAAATCAGTAAGAACTTGTTCCCCAGATCAATATTGTACTGTACAGTACAATATTTGTGGTCTGCTGTTGTTTTTTAAAAAACTTTATTTTGATTTAAGCTGTAGAATTAGAACAACATAAATCTGCAGTAGTTCATTGGTAAATAAAATCTGTTTCTCTAGTTTTGTGTTAAGTTGCATGAATACATTCTCCATCAGCACCCCAGTGATGAGAAAAGTCTGCGCTGCTCACATGCCATCTTGCCATTTCATTTCATACAGGTGCTTACAGATGTCTCTGTGCCTTTCTGTAGACTATGACATTTTTGTTTCCAACCCTTAACGAAGGGTTTCAGTTAGGTCTCCTTTGTTTTACATTTGAATATGGTGCCAAAGGAATGTTGCGTGTTCTGGCAACAGCTTTGAGAAACAGGATGGAAGAAACCACGTGCTTTTGACAGTGCAGAATAGAGCTACATTGTTCTTAGGCAAAGATAGTGGTTTGGATTTCTGCTTTAATGACGTTGAGTTGTTAAGTTTTGCTTAACTCAACTCTGCCTTCTAGCAATCTCCTCCAGGTCAGTATTTTCATATATTGCAACGCTAAAGCAAAATAAGTCCTGTTTTTGAAAATCAGGATTTTGGGTCCTATACTTCCAAATCAAGTTTCTGTACATCTTGAAAATATCTTTTTCTGGAAGATCTCTGAACATCTCTCCAGAAGAAACTGATGGATTCTGTGAAGACTATGCACCTTTCTCCCATCACATGTGTTAGGCTAACTAAAAATTTCATGGACAAGCACGAAAGATTTCTGTGGAGAAAATAAGCATTTCCGATAAGAGGCTCATCGTTCATGTTTGTTTTGATACTGTTGATTCTATACATAAATATAGCTGAGAAAAACATACTTCTTGTCTCTATGAAGTAGAGAACTGATGACAGTCCAAGTATCATTATTATAAAGACTTAGCACCAATAGCAATATTTCATTGTGTTTGAGAAATGAATGCAACTCATTTATTTCAGCATTCAAACGCAGGACTCTTACTTGTTTGTTATACATTGTCTGTTCTTGCCTCATTTAGCAATCAGCCTGCTCAAAATGCAGACTAGTTGTCCTCAGTTTCTCAAGACATTGAATAATACCTGGAAAAACATATCCAGCGAAGCATTAAACACCCACTTAACTTTAAAATGGGAGGTTAGTACCAGGCTAGGACCAGGCCCTGAGCAGCCTGATTTAGCTGTGGATGTCCCTGTTCATTGCAGGGGAATTCACAGAATCATAGAATCACAGAATCCTTAGAGTTGGTAGGAACCTCTGAGGTGCATCTAGTCCAACTCCTCTGCAATGAGCAGGGACACCACAGCTAGATCAGGTTGCCCAGGGCCTTATCCAGCCTCACCTTGAAAGTCTCCAGGGTCGAGGCATCAACCACATCATTAGGCAACTTGTTCCAATATCTCACCACTCTCACTGTAAAAATTTTTTTCCTTATGTGTAACCTAAACCTACCTAAAGACGGTACTCTTTGAGCTTGAGTTGGACTAGATGACCTTTAACATTCCTTTCCAACTCAAAAGATTCTATTATTCTATGATAGTTTAACTCCTCCTGGGATAAAACACAACACCAGCCATGACTAGATGTGTTTTGCTAAATATTGGTGTAAAAATCTCAGTGTAATCCTAGCTGACACATTTTGGAAAACTGCTGAATATATGTGATTTAATTGTTTTTTAATGATTTAATTGTTTTCTTTGGGCCATATCTAATTTTACCCATGTTGATACTGCATTTTCATATCATGACTGGCATGTTTTTTCAAAATCTCACTTGTGCCAGTATGAGAATGTTGTTCTTGGTTACAGGGTCTGGATCACTTTTCCAAGAGCAGGTTCTATGGACTCCTGGTGATCCAAAAGATTTCAAAAAGTGGCATGGAACTGAGTTCAGATTATTAAAAGCACAACAAAGCCAAACAAAAAGTCTTTACTATATATTTCCACATAGAGCAAAGGAAGCAAGTCAAATCAGAAGATTCATAAAAGTGCACATTCATAATGCAATTTTTACAGTTTGAAACTGAAAGCTGTATTTCAACATTGCAGTCATTGAATTAAAAAAAAAAAAAGCTGAGTAACACTGATCTACAGGATGCAAAACAACCATGAGGAGTGCTACAAACACATAAAACTCGAAATAGGTTTTTCTGAGTAATTTCTGAGGGGAAAGAAAAGGAATTCCATCAAGTTGGTTTTAATACTAACAAGTTGGTTCCAATACTGACAGCAATTGATTGTGCTGTTCTCATTTAAAATTGATACTTGATTTGTAAATCCTTTTTTTCAGACAGAGTTCCCAGTTTACATAGCAACTATGTTACGGATTTACTGTGTATGTACATATACAAACCAAAAATGTCTTGAAATAATTTATTACTTTTATTTTTTACCAAATAAAATGTTTCTTTTAAAGCTCAGCTCATTCCTCTGTTCTTGTTTTCACTGGCTCCTATTGTCAGCAACATATTTCATTTCAAAATTCAGAGTATCTTTTAAAAAAACACTGACAGCAGATATGTTGAGCAGAACGTTGTAAATGGAGGTCTCAAGGCTGCATGTGGCAGCATCAGTGTTTTATGTACAGGACATACATCCCGCCTGACCAAAAGAGGAAGGAACAAGGCTGACATCACTTTAATATAAAAATTTGGGATAAAATATAAGTATCAATAAGCAAGATAAAGCATTAAACAGAGTAAGATCTACTGCGTTAGCATCCCATGTTTACCTGCAAACCCTTGTATTTGTTTCCTGTTAACCCCTTCTTGCTCATGATGTCAGGTTCAGTAGTCTTTTTGTTCCCTACTTCCACCTCCACTTTAATTTCTTGTTTCCTGTTTACATGGAATATCCTTCAGAAATCTGTGCTCCTCACTGCTTGCCTTGTAAAAACTATTGACAATCACTTCCATCACATTGTTTAAAAGAATTAGCTTCCAGCAGCTTCTCTATGCATGAGTGCACGCTACTACTGAATGGCTAATGACAAATTGATTTTCTGTCATGAATATATGTTTGGTTCTTTTGGAAAACAAGTAGCAACCAGTAACCTTTCTGAAAAGCTTACAGCCTGTATGTAGACTTAATGAAGGAAGGAAATGAAGAGGAAGAGAGCAAGTGAAAAGTGAAAAAAATGAAAGTTACCTAAGAGTGAGGAGGTGAGAAGGGTTGTGTTGATGTTTATGCAGGCATACATAAATGTACATTTATGCATAATACTGTATGTCCAACTTATAGAGGAACTTTTACTTACATAGAAAAAGAAGTAAAATTCATTTCGTTCAATTGAGCTCAGGGCTTTCTTCTGGTCTCACCTACAATAACTCATAATTCTCATTCCTTCTTTCCTTCCTGCTTTTCTCTCTTATGCCCAACCTGACCTTACCCTACCAGCAGCATTCTCAGCAGCATTTCACTAGAGAAGCACTGAAAAAAATACCTTCAGTTATAAAAGAGATTAAACATTGCCCTGTCCATAGCGTGCAGTTTCAAGCCCATCAGCCGTGGTTTTCACAATTGTTCTTTATGACCTGTTCCTCAAAGTAAAAGTATCTCAGTGTTTTCCAAGGTGGGACGGTTTGGTTTAGCTTTGCTGAGGTATATAAACAGACTCGTCAAGGAGGCAGCCTGTGGCTGGGGTCAGGATGCTCTCAGAAACAATTCATGATGGTTCCTCCTAACTAAAAGCAATCAGTATATGGCCGCTGTACTGGAGCTTAGCACACTAATAAGCATATCAGCCAGAGAATTGCTGTGAAAGTGTCGTACCTCAAGATTTGAACCCTTTATTATTCCTCTTCTGAGCAACATGAGTATTTGGAGGAAAGTATATAAGGAATTGGAGGAAAAATGAACTAGGTAGATTAGAAACATGTCACTAGATTTTGTTCTGATACCTCAGATAAAAGGCTTTAGGAGGACAACGTACACCATCAGTCACCTAATACTTAGGTTTCTCACTGAAACTCACCCTAAGCTAAGATGGTCTGTGTACTGCAAATCTTTAGTGGAGGGAGCAGGTTTTTGGAGAAATGCTCGTTTCACTCAAACAGCTCACAACGGAACCGCTCTGCTGTTGTTTAGGGGACCATGCCATCATCCTCTGATACTTTCAATGATCAGGCTTGAAAATGCTTTTAAAGGACAAGATCACAAATAATTGGATTGAAAAGAGAGTCTTTCTCACTTACTGGAAAAAAATAAGACACAAGAGAATTGTACCTCCCTCTACAGATTTCAAGTACAGATGTCCCATAAACTGGTTCTTTTAAACTAAATATCCTATCGGATCTGTTGTGCCCAGCATGCAGACTTAAAGTAATAAAGCCATGCAAACAATACAGTATTGAGCCTTTGAGAGATTAGTAACAGAACTCATTTTTTTCTGGAGCATCTTGGTCCTTATTTTTCTTCCCCCCATAAATGTGGCCAGGGAGCAAAAGATATTGAAAAGGAGACTAAGCCAGAGGGCACCTCTGTGTCTTGTACCCTACTCACAGTGCTTCTCCTGCTGGCACTGCAGTTTGGAGGAGGCTGTGGGGGTTAAGCACTGCATTTAAACTCTTTATAATCTGTAGAAAAGCTTATCTTGAAAAGATGCATCATATTTAACTCTCACTGATCTCTCAAGGAAATAAATTAATGCTTCTAAAATTTTTAAGGCCTTAAAATTATTTGTGCTATCTTGCTGCCTTCAGTCACCCACTGAAATTCCCAGGAGTGCATTTCAGAGGGATCTGCCTTCCAGAGAATAAAGAAAATTTACTGATTTTTTGGTCACAACTTGGAGGGATTATTTTCAAAAGGAAGTAAAAAATACATTGGCTTCTTCAGATGGCAAGTCTTAGAAAATTTGAGTAATAAATTAAAAAATACATAAATAAACAAGTTTGAACAGGAAAAATGCATTCGTTTCCTTTTTGAAAATAATAATAATAATCTTATTTTTTAATTTACCAAGATCATTACTTAATAAATCCTCCTTCTTAATTCTTGTTATTACTTAATAATTCCTCTTCCTTTTAATTTTAAATAAGTCCATTCATTATGACTGCCTTGGGTTCTAAAATTACAGGAAACACAGAACAGATGACCTTGCAAACTTTGGCTGCCTCAAGTTTCAGGAAGTTTACCATGAAGCAAATTCTAGTGCATTCTGCAGAAGTAATTAAAAACCTTTTTCCTCTTATTTGAGAAGCAGGAACCATTATGCCCTTGAATTCTTTAGAAATTACTTTATTTGTGAGAGAAAATATGAAATATTATCATAATACTTAAATACACCCCTATAAATCTCTTAATTAAATTGGAAAAAGAATCTGAGATGAGGAAAGAGTTATTAGTCTGTACATCTGTTCAACGCAGCCAAAGTGCGCACTGACATACTTTAATTCTCTGACAGCAGTAAACCAATTTTGCAGCAGTTTGAAGAGGCAGGCAAAATAGTGTGGCAAATAAAAAAAAAATTGTAAAGAATGAGCTAGCGTTTTCCACACAGCACTAAAAACACCTGCTTCTTTAGAATTTAAACACAAATCTCAGAAAAATTAGAGAAGACATAATCCTCTGCAATTTATATGACAGAGCTGGGTTTTCCCTTGCTGAGCACCACTGAGGTGAGACAGTCTGCCAGGATGCTGCTCAGTGTGTGCATTGCACAATGAATGGGCTGCCTCACCTGGTGTATTTAGTGCTTCTTAAAATTCGGAAAGGCAGCTCCTGTCCAAACACATTTTTCTGTCCTCCTTATAATTGTGTTTATTTAGGTTTGGAGCTCAAACCAAGAGGTACATGAACTGCACCTTATTCTGGCTTTCTCTCAAGTTAAATTGTTAGAATACCTCATTCTGAAATCTTTGCACTTGTTGTTGATGAATTCCCACTCAGAACTTGGGGAGATTTCTTTTACTGGCCAGGAGGGCAGTATGAGAAATTCCATTACTTTTCAACTTGCAGAAAAGGAGCCTGAGGAATGACTTCATTGCATTCTATGCTTTCCCAAAGAAGGGAAATGGAGAGAGACGTGTTCATGCTTTCTCCATGGTACATATGGACAGGACACGTGGGAATGCCTCAAAGCTGCAACAGGGGAGGTTCAGACTGGATATTAGGAAGAATTTCATGCCAGGGTACTCAAAGAGCTGTCTGATGTTATTGTGAAATTGAAGTACACCTGAAAAACATACTCAATGGTTGCAGCCAACACAAGTTAGTGAGTGGAAAGTCATGCTTAGCAAATCTCCTTAATTTCTTTTTATGACAAGGTTACCCATCTATTTGACTAAGTGAAGCCAGGTGATGTAATCATGTTGGTTTTCAGCAGTGTTCAGTACTGTTTCTCACAGTATCCTTATGGACAATATGTCCAGCATTCAGCTAGACAAAAACATAGTGCAGTGGCCATTGCCAATGAGTCAGGCTCAAAGTGTTTTAGTAAATGGAGCTACATCAAGTTGGCAGTTAGTCATTAGTGGGGTCCTGGAGGGCTCCATTTTAGAGACAACACGCTTCAATATTTTCATCGATTACTTGGATATAGGCCTTGAAATTATTCTAAGTTTGCAGACAACACTAAATTGGAGGAGCTGTTGACTCCCTCAATTGTAGAGAGGCTTTGTAGAGAGATCTAAACAAATGAGAGTGCTGGCAATCACCAACTGTATGGTGATTTATGGTGGTTAACAAAAACAAGTGATAGATTCTTCACCTGGCATAAGGGTACCCTGGTTCTCCATACAGATGGGGATGGGAGTCTGGGGAGCAGACCTGCAGAAAGGGATTTGGGGGTTCTGCTTGATGGAAAGGTGAAGGTTAGCCAGCAGTGCGCTCTGGCAGCCCGAAGGACCAACTGCACCCCGGGGTCCCCCAGGCCCAGCGCTGCCACTAGGCAAGAGGAGGAGTTGTCCTGCTCTGCTCTGTGCTGTGTGGCTTCATCTTGAGCATTGCATGCAGGTTTGTTTGGCTGCCACAATAAATACGGAAGTAATAATAATGGACGTAATAACAATGGACATAAAACTACTAGAGAGTGTCCAAAGGAGTGCTAAAAATATGGTGAAGGATCTAGATATTCTAGGGATATTCTATGATTCTTTATCAAGGCAGTAGTTAGATACAAGAACAGGCTTCCCAGAGAGGTGGTTGATGCCTCAGGCCTGTCTTTGTTTAAGACTGCTTAAAAGGCATTTGGATAATGCTTTTAATGATATGTTAAACACTGGGTCAGTCCCAAAGTAGTCTGACAGTTGCACTAGATTATATTGTAGATGTCTTCCAACTGAAACCCCCTCTCCTCTCCTCTCGTCTCCTCTCGTCTCCTCTCGTCTCGTCTCCTCTCGTCTCCTCTCCTCTCCTCTCGTCTCCTCTCCTCTCCTCTCCTCTCCTCTCCTCTCCTCTCCTCTCCTCTCCTCTCCTCTCC